ATTTCAGTAAATGACTAGCTAGCAGGACATCCTTTACGTCGGTAGCATTTTTAAGTGTTACGCGAAGTAGCCTTGGGGGATTTTGACGCTTAGAGTCCCTTCCCCGAGTGAACCGTGTGACAGTCAAAGGCTCTGTTTTGGGAAGTTCGAGCTTCACGTTTAACACGTCCCAGAGCATCCTGTCATGTTTGTCTCGTAAACTGAGCGGAAGTTCAGGGCTGTCTTTAAGGTTCATGATTATGAGAGAATCATCACGAACCGTTATTACTTTTTCAGGTTTGTGGATGCGTTCAGGTTGAGCACATTGTTGCATGGAGCTCGAAGCGCATTTCCGATTCCGAAGCTCTTTGATGACTGGACGGACATTCTTGAGAGTAGACTGAGCAGCCAAGCCATCAGTTGATTTACGTACAATACTTGAGATGTTCAGCTTATACGGTGACATCTGGTTCTTTTTAACTCTGTTAAAGTGGGTCCAATCGTCTACAGAATTTCCGAGAACCACCGTCGCATTCAGGGACCCTGCTCTCGGAGACCCAAGTCTGTCGAAGGACTCTACAACCGTCAACATTATGATGGTGTTGAGTTTCAGCATTTCATCACTAGTACTATCGCATGCTCCATCGATAGCATAGCTGTCGACATCCCTCTTCTCGCTTTCATTGTGCATCCTTGTTTGTCTAACCGTTTTATGACTGTCTTTTTTCAAGTTTTCTGACAATTTATTGAGCAGACCCGTAAATAGGACAATGATGTTACTCAGAAAAAATTCAGCATCCATGTTGAACGTGACACATACCTACCCATGACCCAACTTGCTGAGTATGTTGTAAGCAGTTACTGTGAAATCTGTGCACGCTTCATGGAACCAAACTTTGCAGTAGTCGCACTGCATGCCAGGTGTAACAGCAAAACGGCACCCGGGTCGTTTGCATGAATTTTTCATGACTTTATTAACGTACACTATTTTATAGATGCTGGCAAAAGCCTAAGACCGTTGAAAAAAAACAGTACACTAAAAATGGGCGAAAATGGATGAAAACGGGTTAGGATAAACTGTTACTAGCCTTTACTTGAAAATATGAAGAAAAAACTGAATAGTAAGCTGAGGTAAAACCACAGTCAACTATTAGGTCTGGTGAAACTGAAAAAAAGTAATCTACTGAATATATAGCTCAGAATATATTCTTTAGATCAGAAATGATGCTTTTGTTGCACAAGGACACGGCAAAAGTTTAAGACGTGCAAATCAAGTTAGGGCTAGACTTTCCGTTGTTGTCCCTGAAAAAATCCACCTAATAACTAGGACCAAATGAGGATTGTAAACCAGTGTGAGGAATTCGAGTTATGATTTACAGTTGATGGTTAGAGTTAAGAATTAGATTAATAGTTTTCATCACGAACTGACATCAGCTATAATACCAAAATGGTATTTATACGAATGAATAAATGAATTTCGTGCTAAAATCTAAGATCTGCTGTCTTAAATCTGATTGGTTCAACCATAAACTAGAGACTCGCCCTGTAGTGGCATTGGGCCATAACCACACAATCCTCAAAGCTGAACACGAAACAAATGGTAAAACAGATACTCAACATTTAACGCGGAGAAAAACCCAACAATGGAAAAGGTGAGAGGAATTAGTTAATTAATCAGATGGCATTGCTCAGCCTTGCAGGCGTGATCACTGTTGTGTAACTTTTATCCGTATTAAATATATTGTTCTACCTCCAGCCTAAATGCGTTCACAAAACATTAGTGATTGTTACGATACGATGAGTCAGTGTTGACCTCCAAGTAAGATCTTATTAATTTGTCAGTAGCATCATGGCAAATCTACAATTTTAGGATTAGGTCTATCACTAGAGCGGTACTAATAACAAAGTAGATCGTAATTCTATAGAACTGTTATAAACAGTGGTTCACAATATTCAGCCGAATGAGTTGTCTGTTGACCGGAACAATCTACAGTGTGATCGGTATCCAACGAAGAGTGTTTGCCAAGATAAGATTTTCCTTAAGATAAACAGAAATCAAATTGTAGCGGTAAATAAATCCCCAAAATAAATAGCTCTGTTAGTTTTCGACATTGGATGCTGACCAGATGAGTTTTAGTGGACTCACCTAGTTGAAGGCACTCGGTCATGCATCCGCACCAGATCACATGTGGGAACGCCGTGCTCAACTGCTACTGCAATCGCTAGTCAGATTAGATCAGATAATTCCGATATGTTGGCAATCGTCAAATGCAACTTCTGATCTCCTCGATTCTGTCTTTTGATTTCTCTTGGTAGGTATGTGTTATATAAGAAGGTGTTACTGGTAAAAGCGTTGTAAAACACTGAATACCTGTGCCATCAACATTCTTTGCTACCCTACAAGTATCTAAGCATTTGCAGATATTCCATTTTTAACTGTAAATTGTGAAAACTTTGTAAACTACTGATATTTCTTCGAAGTTTCATTCTGTGTCTTGTTTTGGGTGCTGATATAATTTTATTATTGATTGTCAATAAAACTACAACCTGACTTAAATACATTTGATGATGCCTATAACGAAGGAAGTGGTACGCTTACATTTATCTCTCAGATCCGTGGTAAACAGATGTTTATTTTACATAAGCCTAAGCATTACGAGCGCTTTCCTTTTGTCGTCAAGTGAGTTTCAAATGTCACAAACCCGGTAGTACAAATTCATGTCCAATGATATTGATGAATTACTAACCACTAATTATGGTTCATCTAACCAGAGAATTCACTTAATAAAACTGATGCACAGCGACCAACCTACTAGAATATCTAAAGATTAACAACTAAACGTAAGAATACGAAGTGGAACAAGTAACTAGAGTGTAGCAGCATATAAATTCCCAAAAGACAGTTATGTAAGTCTTTGGCATTTTTGCTGAACTCATTAGACTTGTTGGACAATCAAATCTATCTATCAAACATCCTCTTCAGATCTCCTCGCCGTGCATATGTCATATACTTTGCTAAACATCCACTATCTTCCAAGTATGTCTTCGTACACTTCATTCTATAATTCTTGTTTGACTGATATTGCTGTCCTCGACTATGAATATGTTACTAACAACGTTGTTAAGCACTTAATGTCCGTAAACTTTTTAAATCCACACTTCACAACTCTCTTGTTATTTCAGAATGTGAAGTTAGTTTTGCGCGATGTTCTGAAACTATCTCACTACAACTCATATCTAAATGGAAGAGTTAATAAAGTTAATAACTGACAAAGCTACTTTATGTTGCGAGAGTTCTTTTAACCACTAGTGGATACTATAAAGTGCATCCAAATCTAGAACTGTGATTGTTTTACTGTCTTCTAGAAAACTGAGTCACAGTGTTAAAATTTATGCTTCAATAAAGCAAATGCAATCGGATTAACTCGTTCATGGCAGGTGATAACCATTGTTTTCAACGTGGTATCGTCACTGATTCCATAAGGATCAGTCATGCATAGACCAAACTCTGATATTACGGATCATCGTTGGGTAATCAGTTGGATTGTACTCATCACTTTACACCAACTTCCCTGACTATGAGAAAGCGTTCGACACGGTGAATGAGAGGACCTTATGGAGCCTTCTTCGACACTACGGTTTACCTGAGAAAATCGTCAACATCATACATAATTCATATAACGGACTACACTGCAAAGTGGTGCAAGTAGACGCATTTCAAATGGGGACTGGAGTCACACACGGCTGTTTACTCTCACCCATCCTCTTCCTTCTGGTGGTCGACTGGATTATGAAGACCTCGACATCTGGGGGAGCAGGGAATGTAATTTACAGCCTTGATACAACCAGACGACTTGAATTTCCCAGACATTCAAAACTTCTAGCCCATACACACGAGCGAATGCAGGCCGAGACAACCAGTATGGCGGAGGCCTCTGCGTCAGTAAGCCTCAACACACACAAGGAAAAATGCAAGATCCTCAAACACAACATGGAGAACACTAAACCAATCACACGTAATAGTAAAGCTATAGGATAGAGGGAAACGTTTATGTACCTGGACAGAGTCATAAATGAACGTAAAAAACCCGATGCAGACGTAAATGTAAGTATTGACAAAGAAAGAGCTTCGTTCCTATGGCTAAAGAACTTATGGAACTCAAAACAATCGCCAGCCGACAATGAAGTCGGAATCTTCAACACGAGCTGCAGCATAGAGCTGGAGCTTGGAGAACTACTACAGCTATCATCAGACAGGTACAAATATGTACAAACAATTATATACGCAATACACCCAATGTCCGTTGGTCGGTTACCATCAGCAGCAGCCTACTCTTGAAGAGAACGAACCAGCTTTCAACTGAAATGGAGATCACAATAAAACGTTGGGTGCGGATAAGACACACATTGAGAAAATCATAAAACTGTATCAGGAAGCAAGCACTAACATTGAACCCTGAAGCGAAACGGAAAGAAGTCCGAAGAACGCATTGAGCTGAGAAACGGGGGCAGAAATTGTAAGGATGATCAGCGACTGGAAGCAACTGGAGAGGATTACTCTGAACAGAGTTGCATGAAGAATATTGGTGAGCAGCCTATGCTCCTCCACATAGGGGAGCAGGGTCAAGTAAGTTAGCCATTCTAAATATATTTGGGCTTTACTTAGCTTTGCAGACCACAATGTACATAGGTGTATATTATTTTAGTTTAATAATTCACGTGATTTAAGCGATGAGAGACTTGATCCAATCAATCCTCAGTCATAACTACTTCACCAATTAGCAAGTAAAATTGAGATAATTTCATAGCTGTCAAGCTGTTTGGCGGTATTTCTTCAAGTTTTAGCAGTTATCTGTATTTTTACGACACCTTAGGAAATGTGAACTTGGTCTATTTTGAATGCCTGTACTGCCACGAACGAATCTACCCTTTTTGTATATCATGCCCCCCTAAATGTCTATAATTCAAGCACACACTGTAAATAACATTCAGTCCTCGGTTTCAGCCGAGAACGTTTAAACATATAAGACGCGGCTGAGTTAATAGTCGCGCAACCTGAAGGAGTTGCTAAGTCGTTCTAACATCTGAATACTATCCTGCTACCTTTCAGTTCGAACTATCAAGTTCTATCAGTCTCACTTGTTGATGTAAATTATCGTCGATCTTGTTCACTACTAAAAGTGAGTTCATGTACTTACTGATTTGACGGCTCTTAATAGCCTTTTAAGGTTAAATTAAAAAAATGTGATCAGATTGATTAGGTCTCATAATTTTGCTGTGAGAATATGGTCACTACTGTTTCTCCAGATCCCTTCTCAAACATTGCAAAGACAACTCTTTCATAAGAGTTTAACCTAGCAGAAAGCATCCACGTTAATTTGACTGTGAAGATATCTTCAAAAAAATGATACATCCTGTGCAAAATAAGACGTCACGTCAGAGTGATTCCACATTACAAAACAGCAACAAGTTTTCAATGTTCTGTTTATTCGTTTAGTAAAGAGACAAAAATCGCTTATAGAACTGCTCTTAGTCATATTCGTCATACAGTTGCAGCGGGAAATAAATTGTTACATAACTCTGTTTCAAGTCATAGTCGCATATTTTCTATATCTCTTCTGTCTGATACTGACCGTATGTAATCTGCCGTAGCCAATTTAGAAATTCATCTCCATCTAAATATTAGTGAATTTTGCCAGGATAGAGCAAGTTGCCTTGTGATAGACATGCTATCCTTCTTATCTCTTTAGCTGTACAACTAGTTATCAAGTCAATAATCTCTTTGGAGTGCGGATCAACGTATGTACGTAACTGGTGAACTTAAGCGACGATAGAAATGAAGAATAAATGTAGAATGCACTAATAGAGAGTATAATAATAGGTCGCGTTATTCGAAGTCTTGCTCACCAGTGTAGATCACCAACGCAAATGGTGTGTCGAATGGTCGGGGGTCAACTAACCTTAAAGTCACACGTTATGGTTAGCGCCTAACGTGGATTAACATTCGTCGTATCCAAGTACTGTTGCTATCTTAGTGACCGTGCGGCCCGAATCACGTCGTTACAAAAATATATTAGTAAGGATAGGTACAAGGAATAGAGTGCGACCGCCCCCACATGGGCCAGTTCATGGTGTGCAATTAACTGATGCGTGTTGATTGTCGTTGACCTTAACGAGGACCGGCGCACTGCTCGATATTCAGTGACCCAACTACCGGATGATTTGGCTATGGCCCAGTGACATTTCACTGCCTGTACATGAATAATGTCCTCACTTTTCTGACGAATTACGATTTATATTAATTGACTGACTAATTGTGATCCTTGTATCAAACCGTGCTTTTATAGCTATGAAGAAATCAAAATACTGTCCTATGTAGTTGTTTTATGTAACCCTCCTTGAATTGTGATTCCCCTATCATTTCTCAGTTTCTGTCCGCAATGGTCAATGTATATACTTATGGCCTTCATCGAAAGTTTTTTCGTTGTCTGTTATTTCAACTGGTTTCATGAATCGCTAAAAAATGACAATGCAGCTATTTCTATAAAGCTTGATAAATGATGACACGACACTATCCAGAAAAACCAAACTCAGGGGATTCTGCAGCTAACAAATTTTGTTCGAGTGATAAGCCGAAACCCTGTCAAAAAAGTAGGTATGCTACTCTAGTTACCGTTTCATGAAAATAAAGTAATTTGTATGATGTGCTTTTGACTCCTGAATTAATAGACGAGTTGCATTAGAAAGCAGTCTTGGTGTTTGAAGTTTAGTTGCAAAGATTTATGTACATACATATGTTTCAACTATTTTATTTTAGGTTTTTGGGAATTAATTGATGGTCACTAATCGAACAGCTCATGTTATTGTGCTTGGTGATCTCTCACGATCGCCAAGAATATTGTCCCAAGCTCAGTTTTTGGCTTGTGATGGTTGGGATGTAACTATATCAGGATACAAAACTGAAATAATAAACCCGTTGAATTTTAAATTGAAAGTCCTGGGTATACCTACGTGTCCGAATTTCAAAGCTCTACATTTCCCTTCGTTTGTGGTTTTTATCCTCAAGGTATGTTTAATTTTCTTTTAACCATGTTAACTTTAGTTTATTTTTACGGCTGTAGCACTCTTCTGTCATCTTACTAGACACTGCCGTAGCCGTTTAATTTTGGTTCAGAATCCTCCTGCAGTACCAACTTTTTTCATTTTATGGTTATTTATAAAGATTACTGGGAAGAATTTAGTTATTGACTGGCACAACTATGGTTATACTCTTTTGGAGCTAAATGCGCCTAGAAAAAGTTTATTCACGCGGTTAGCAAACCTATTCCATTTATATCCATATTAATATTTGCAGGTTGTACTACATATTGGAAGTTGACTTTGCAAGTCGCTTTATGTCCAGAATGTCCGATCGTGTTGCGCACATTTGCGTATCCAAAGCTTTAAAGTACGATATGGGAATAAAATCAATCGAAGCAACTGTTTATTATGATCGTCCTGCAGAAGAATTCAAACCTACACCTGTAGGTGTTGCCCACTGTCTGTTCTTGAAGTAAGATCATTCAGTACTGTATTTTCCGGTTAATTAATAGTTTTTAAGTATTAATCTGTAATTAATAACATTTCTTCGGCAAATGTTTTATTGAGGTTATTTTGTAATTTTATTTTTGTCCTATACGTAAAAATCATGCTACATTATTCACCAGTTATCAAGATATAAACTTGCCTCTCTGGAACTATTAATTTTATTTCGTAATTATATGGTTGCTAATTTTAGAAACCCTGCTTCTCATATTAACTGGAAACTCCGAGTAGACCCATTAGAGTTGAACTTAATGACGAGGAAACTACAAGCACATTTCAGGAACAACTGAGGTCACACTCAGGCAGCTGTGAAAACGAGGATGACCCAGATGTTGCTTGGAAAGATAAATGATCAGCTGTGGAAACAGCAGCGATATCTACTGATAATTTGAATCAAAGGGTTGCGAAAAACCAGTGGATTCCTGTCACACTTATTTCATTGATAGACCCTCGTAAACTTATCCCGTTAGGCTCTAAACACAATGATGAGCGAAAACAAATCAAGCCTAGGTTAACGAGAAGTCTACGGAACGGTCGTGAGCAGTAATAGGCAAAGAAAGCAAGAAATGAAAAAGCAGCAGCTGCAGGTAACACAAGATAACTTTACTGACTAATGGAAGAGACCGGAATTTAGAAGTCAAGTGTGAGACAATCGCTGACAAAGACGACACTCTTATCTGCTCTCAGTCCAGACGTTTAGAACGATAGGCGAAGCACTTAAAGGAACAGCTCCATTGATCGACAGCTACCCACCATGCCCAAATACCCTGAAGCCCCCAAATGCTCTGGTACGGCCGAGAGTGGGGGCCGCCCTCCTTCTCGAAATGCTCTGACATGGTCACGCGTATACAGCCTCTGGCAGGGAAGTCCTACCCATTGCCTTCTCGTGGCGGGGGTGTTGTTTACGAAATTGAGAAGGCAAATTTCCGGCGCTTTAACCGGACCGGTGGACACGGTGAGTCCACCTAGGGGAGTTTGGAAACCCTGATTCCAAACCATTGGTGTACATAGGCTCCAGTTTCCTGAGGGAACAAATGGCGTATGGACCAATTGTTGGTCACCGGCTACCATGGGACTGCATCTTCTGACGATGCTCCGTTGGTCAGACCTTTAGGTCAAAGGCTCGGGGTGTGGACCCATAAGAAAACCACCTGCTTCGGTCTGGGCACCCGGGAATTATCACAGCCCACACACAAATAAAATGAAATTACAATACTAAAAATAATGTTCTTGTTCCAATTAAAATTCAGACAACTCATATCCATTTGATAACATTCATTTTTATTTTTCTTATATACTCTTTTATTCCCACTTTGTGTATCCTTATTTTTCAACTTATACAGCAGTTCGCCTATGGTGGAAACTTTTGTGTGGCGCATATATATCTGGTTCCCCCTTGTACCTATATTTATGTTCAAATAAATAAATAAGACACCTTGAATGGAACATTGAAGTAGGCCTCTGCACTCTGATTGAAGATAAAAAAGCTGTAGCTAATCTGAAACGACGAAGAGCAGCTGGTCCAGATGGATTAGCTCCAGAGGTCTTTAATGGGGTGGTGGTCCAGTTTTAGCGATTAAGCTGACTAATATTTTAGCTAAGATCTGGGAGTTGGATGTACTCCCATCTAACTGATCGCAATCGCTTATTGTCCCGATAAATAAAAGGGGGTCAAAATCATCCTGTGACAACCATAAAGGGATTAGTTTAACTAATATAGCATCTAAAATACTAGCCTCAACAATTATCGGACGCCTTACGAAGACTCATGGACTGCAAACACGAGAAAATCAGGCTGGTTTCATACCTGATCATGGATGCATCGACCACATATTCACCATTCGTCAGATCTTAGAACACAGGCATGCTTATAAGTGTCCGACAATCATGGTCTTTCTTTACTTAAAAGCAGCATTTGACTCCGTAGACCGCGAGATTCTGTGGCAGTGTCTGTCATTGAAAGGCGTACCTCAGAAATACACAAAACTTGTGAAAGCTCTTTACTCGAACACTACCAATCGAGTGAGGACCTGTGGCGAACTGTCAACCTCAAGTGGTGTCCGTCGAGGCTGTCCACTTACTGTATTTTCGTTTAACTTCATCATAGACCTACTGGTAGAAATAACATTCTCATCGACTGAATTCTCAGATGTTGATCTTCCAGGAGGTCCACTTATCGACTTAGAGTACGCAGATGACATAGTCCTGTCTGGTTAAGACGCTGATAAAATACAGTCTTCTGGTTGCATTAAGCAACAATTTCAGAATGTTTGGAATGCACTTCTCTCCCTCGAAATGCAAGTTGTTGCTTCAGGACTGGTCTGTGTCAACACCTAAACTAAGGATAGGTAGTGAAGTAGTCGAAAGCGCTGACTTCACTTATCTTGGAAGTCTGGTCAGCCCTAATGGGTTGGTGTCAGACAAAATCTCTGTATGGATTCAGAAAGCTTGTTTAGCTTTTGCTAACTTACGTCACCTATGCCGAAGGCGAGATCTCCGTCTGTCAACAAAAGGACGAGTATACTGTGTGGTAGTTCGTTCTGTCCTACTTTACGGCTGCGAAACCTGGCCATTAAGAGTGGAACATAATCGTAAGTTACTAGTATTTGGTGACAGATGTCTCAGGAATATTGCTCGCATCTGCTGGGACCACCGGATAAGTAATAGTGTTTTTAGACGCAGGGCACTAGGGAATGATGGCAGATCAGTTTATGAGGTTGCAAATCTTCATCGTCTGAGATGGCTGGGCCACGTTACGTATGTCTGAACACCAATTACCACGACGCGCAATGCTGACTAGTGTTGAGGATGGTTGGAAGAAAGTTAGGGGCGGCCAAACCAAAACGTGGCATCAGTTCTTGAAGTCACTAACTTCTGGCCTAAGCTATGTTGGTAGATGCAGACTACTTGGTTGGAGTCCGCGTGACTACCGTGACCAATGGTTGGAGACTCTGGGTGACATGGCTCAGAACCGATCACAATGGCGTTGGTGTATACACTCTGTCTTCCCTTAAACTGAGATTAAAATCGCTTCATATCTTTCTTTCTACGAACCAATTCTTTCTTCCTGTACTATATCTTTATCACGATCTTTCTTTTATATATTACCACCTCTGAATCAACTACGTTTATGAATCCGGTGTTCATCTTGTTGTGTTGATGAGGTATGGCAACTTGGACCGATGTATATGTGTCCGGTCCTAAGTTAGAGTTGACTGACTGTATTAAAGTAACTATGTATTAAGTACTGTATGAAAGCCACTTCGTATGAGTGAACCTCACTCCGTCACGAACCAAGGCTCAGATTTCATCACATAAGATTGATAACAAAAAATTATTGCCTGTTCGTATTGTTGACTGGCTGTTTATCACTAGTGGTTACAAAAGCGGGTTAGTGTATATTTACGAATGTGAAGTCGTACAAAGTCATTATTGTACTCATAAAGCACCGACTATATTGACTAATTATTTCCGGAAAGTTAATTTCTATATTTCCGTAGTGTTTCTTGACAATTTTCTCAACTCGGGTTTATTAAAATTTTAGACTCAGCGATCAATACGCAGTGTTTAGAAACAAACTAGATTCATGTCGATTCACACGCTTTACTGAGATAACTGCTTTACCGACTAATACCAAGAACAATGAGCCTCATTGGCGCCCAGATCGCCCAGCATTGGTTGTCAGTAGCTGCAGCTGGACACCTGATGATGACTTCACGTTGGCAATTAAAGCACTGGGAATCTACGACAAGGAAGCTGAAAAACCAGATTCAGGTTTACCCAGTATTGTGTTTGCTGTAACAGGTATAGTTTTACGCTAAACTGTGTTCAGTCTTGTCTTAGACATTTTTAACCTGTTCTGACTTATCGTCCTCGTAGTGTTGCTGGTTTTATCTATAAGATTCATATTTGTCAAATCAGTTATGGTATCATCCTAGATCAATCGTTCACACATAAACGTTTCTTATTTTCTAATGGCTTCGCCCCTTTCACTCTCGTCTTAAGTGCATTCTACTTAATATTGTGTTATCTGCATCCCATCTTCATTACATGTATGTAGTTAATGACAAGAAGGCATATTTCGTATACTCCTAAACCTATCCAAATTTTCAATGAAAAAACAAGGCTTTAAGTATCACATCAAACTCTGAAAATCTATCTAAATAATAGCAGTATTTTAGGTTTCCTTTCATCCCACTTATCAGAAAGGTGCTCCTAAATATTTATATCCAAAGGATCTGTAATCTTACTTAGTCTGTACAACAGATTTTAAAACACCTTGATTACTTCGAGTGTTGTTTATGATCTCAGATAATTTCAAGTCACTTATAGGTATCGTTACAAAAGTTTGACTTGATAACTTCGAATAAATTGAGCATTGAGTAGATTGTTATAAATAAAATAATATATTTCTGTGCACACAATATTCTTGCGTTGTTACAATTACAATTTACGCCTGTTACTCCTCGTGGATGAGCATAGGCCACTCGCCATTCAACCCTGTCCTGAGCAATCCTTTCCAGTTCTTTCTAGTTGCTATTCATCGCTCTTAAGTTTACTGCCGATTCCCGACGTAGTGTTCTTCGGTCTTCCTCTTCTCTGTTTCCTTTCAGGATTCCATGTTAGTCCTTGCTTCGTGATGCACTTTGATTATTTCCGTAATGTATGTCCTATCCAATTCCAACATCTTTTCCTAACTTCATTTTCAGCTGGTTTGTCCTCTTCCAGAGTACGCTGTTACTGATGGCATCTGACCAATGGATGTTGAGTATCCTGCACAGATAGCTGTTTATAAATACTTGTACCTTCTTGATGATGGTTGTAGTAGTTCTCCAAGTTTCATCCCCGTACAGTGGGACTAACTATCTTGACGTTGGTATTGAAGATTCTGACTTTGATATTGGTTAAAAGTTGTTTTGAGTTCCATATGTTCTTCAATTGTAAGAATGCGGCCTTTGCTTTGCCAATCCTCACCTTTACGTCTGCATCTGAACCTCCTTGTTCATTGATGATGCTTCCCAGGTATGTGAAAGATTCCACATCTTCGAGTTTCGCCGTCAAGTGTGATTGGGTTGGTGTTCTCCGTGTTGTATTTGAGGACCTTGGTTTCCGCATTGTGTATGTTGAGGCCTACTGATGCAGAGACTGCTGCTACACTGGTTGTCTTTATCTGCATTTGTTCATGTGCATGGGATAGAAGGGCTAGATCATTTGCGAAGTTCAAATCGTCTAGTTGATTCCCCGCCTAGAGCTCTTCCATTTACTGCTGGTCCCAAGCCCGGGTAAAGGATGAGGGTTGGTCATGTGGTTGGCAACCCCATGCCGTAGGAAAAATTTTGCTAGAAAAATGCCAACCAGATTAAATAAATTAAACCATTTAAACTCTGCTCTGGGAATTGAAGGAAGAATTATGACGCCTCATGATGAAAGCCAAAATTCTTTGGAAGTCACAAAGCCGATGTCCCCTCCCCTACTTGAAAGATTTCTTCTGATTGTACCTTTCCGTTCCCCTGTTACTACCACACTACCTTACACCAATCTCTTCGTTATCGTTCTCTTTTTCTTTTGTGCTCCTTAGTTTTTTTTTCTATCTCCGAATTTTCATTGTTTTGTGTGGCGCATATATATTGGCGCTCTCTTGTACCAATATTTATGTGTTCAAATAAATAATAATAATAACTAACAACCAGAGCAACAATTTTCATAGGTACATAAAACGTTCGGATAGTGTTGGAGACCGAGAGGAAATGATGAGATATAGATTGGAAGTACTCGAAATCAAAGAAACCTATTGGACCCAAGCTGGACAGCAAAAGCTCGATACGGGAGATATGCTTCTGTACTCCGGTCAAGAAGAGGAAAATGCTCCACACACACGGAGTTTCTCTAATACTATCCGAAGTAGCACGAAATGCACTTGTAGGATGAGAATCTCACGGATCCAGAATCACCAAAGCATCATTCAAAACAAAGAAAGAGGGGATCACAATGGATGTTATCCAAACGTTATCCACCCACCAATGATAACAACGACGACAACAAATATCAGGTCTACTAGGGGCTGCAATCAATCATAGCAAAGTGCCCAAGAAAGGACCTCGCCATCCTAATGAGAGATCTAAACGCCAAAGTGAGAACGGACAACACCGGATATGAAGATATCATTGGACGACATGGACTGGAAGAGAGAAACGAAAGTGGAAGAGCTTTGTGGACCTGTGTGCATTCAACAAATTAATTATATGCGGCACTAAATTTCCCCCTCTTGCGTTGTTCCTTTGTACTATTTAAACTTGGAATAATTTTGATTTGGTTATTTATCCTCTGAAGAAGTGGCTTACACTGAGTCGCGAAACGTCAGAAGATTTGTTTTTTTCTAATCATTGGGATATTACAAATACATTGCTTTATTTAAGTCACTCAGTCCAAAGTACCACAGGTGATTTAGAGTTTCTATCTGAATGTGACACAACTATAGTCATGTTATTTTACTTCCCTTGCTTTAGGTCGTGGTCCATTACAAAGCTACTATGCAAAATTAATAAAAGAACAAAAGTGGAAATATGTGGAAGTCATTATGTTGTGGCTTGAGTGGTCAGATTATCCAGTTTTTCTTGGATGTGCTGACTTAGGACTTAGCATACATCGAAGTTCCTCGGGACTGGATTTACCCATGAAAGTGAGTTTGAGGTATTTTCAGATATATTACAAAGAAGTAGTATGTGTAGTCTAAAAATGTTACCTTACGTAATATGTAACCACGAAGTGGGGTTATTGCCAAAATAATTTTTAAACTGAGAAACAGTTAAGTAAACCTATTTCTGTATTTACAGACAAAGCTCTGTATGGTTGCATTTCGGGACAATACCGTCATTTTGTTATTTTGAATTTTAAAAGGCTCTTAGTTTCCTAAAGAATGCTTACCAGATAGCTATACCATAAACTAGCCCAGTCGTGTGTTCACACAAGTTTTTACGTGAGTATAAAGAACAGAAGTACAACCTAGAGGTAAAGTCATCTTATGTTAATTCTAGTTCCAAAAACCTAGAATGACCATATATATATATATATATACCCATGTAGATTTTCACTTATTACTAACCACGAATTATTTTAACCTAACATCCTTTAACGCATGTCGTACGGGTTTTTTTATTGTATATGTTTAGGTAGTTGACTTACTTGGTGTGAACGTCCCTGTCCTGGCGCTAGGTTATACAACACTAAGTGAATTGATGGAGGATAATAAATATGGTTTATTTTTCGAAACTGGCGAACAATTAGCTGAACAAATGTGCGACTTGTTGAAATCACCCCGTAATTCTACAATCCAATATACTTATGAACCTAGCCGTTTTTTATCTGTTGGGTCAGAAAAGTTAATTTATTTTCGCGAATGTTTGGCTGAAAGAAACAAAAACCTGATTAGAGGATTTACCTACTGGAAAAATACTGCATTACCAGTGTACGAAAAAGCAGTTCATACTAATCATTACAAAAACAAAGATAATTAGCTGGTAATACATAATACAAATCTTTTGTGTCACTTGTTTACTTGATATCGAAAATCCTAGTTACTACTTATTGTGATTAGCAATTACGTTAGATTTTCAAACATACAATCGACTGACCACTCAATAGTGGTCAGCGCTACATCTGTTCAGTCCTATCGTGTTGATCGAATTCTACCGATCACGTCTCAGTATGGCCACTAGTGTAAATGATTCGATATCACGTGTGTTATGTTGATGTGTTAGGTATTTGGAAGCAGTTGACAGGAAATACTATTGGACGTACGCCTCCAGCTAGCTGTTAGTACTTATTTACTTTTCTAATCAGTGTAGACCCTTAAAATAATTTGAAAATCTGGATAATTTTCGCTGACGCTCTCATATCTAATCAGATTTAATCACATGAAAAGATTTTATTCGCACTATGTTTTTTGGGATAAAAAGACAAATTTGAAAGTCAAGCCGAGTATATTTCACACTATCAGTAGAATATCATACATTCGTTCGTTGTTAAAATGAGATTTTAGAAAAATTTACACGATCTAGAAAAAGCTTAGGTAGTCATTGTTATCAGTACTAACTTGAAAGCACGAAAAATTGGTGACCCTACCTGAAATTTAGTAGAACTCTGCAGGACAATAATTATTACCAACATAAGTAAAATCAAAAATAAGAAAGTATAAAATAATTTTAACACTAAGCCTAATAAATTATCTCTGAGCAAAGTAGCATTAATTATATTATTGAAAATAAGTGCTTACACGTCTCTCTAAACACGAGGCATAAAGTGCTTCCATATTTCATGTGAAATATGTAGACGGTTTTCCGTTAAAGTGAGTAGTAGCGTGGCTGTTGCTTCAGTCATTTCAGGGTGCAAACTAATTAATTCTCTCACATTTTCATTCACAGATCTTGTTTGGCATTTTGTGAGATCACAATGTGACATACCGGAGGGGATCGTATTCTTGTTATACAAATTATCTGAAGAACAGTCCGTGTGGTTCTTATCATTCGATAGCGATTCACAAATGAGATCTGGGTTTGCACTTATGTTCTGTTGTGCAGATGGCTTGATATCTCGTATGTCGTCTTTTTCATCAAAGGCTAAACTAACCTCCAATTCTTCATCAGAATCTGACTTGTTTAAATCTAACTGAGCGTAATTTAAATCCATTGTATGATCGAAACTCCCAGTATCTATCTGGGGCATAACTTGTGGTGGCAACAGAAAGTTGCTCCCTTGAGAGCATAAGCATCTATCTTCATTACACTCACTAAGCGAACGTAAGAGCGTATCCTTTGTAACAGATGATTCGGGATTTGAGAATTGGATGTTTTCATGAGAATCAGGATGTGTATAAATCTCAAGTCCGTAGTTTGTCGAAGTGTGACAACTAGCTTGAAGTTCGTTGTTGTAATTTACGGTATTATCTATGGTAGATGTCAGATAAAAGTTCCTTGGCGGTATAGGTGGTGGCCCCGCAGATAGAGGGTCTGGCGTGAGACTTTTTCTGTCGCACAAGGCGCTGACAGAACACGAAACCAATCCTGAAGGCTTGTCAGCTATCGCATGAGGGGATGCTGTTTGATCACAAATTACGACAGACTCACCGGGATGAAAACTTAGTTTACCAGAGTCGCTTGATGGTTTGTATGGATCAACGATAATATCTTCAGTTCCTTTTATTACCAGGCGGCAAAACGGACATGTTAAGCCATTGCTTGTGGATTGACAATTAAGTAAGCAATTCTTGCAAATCAAATGACCACAGGGTTCGAGCCGCGTATCTTTATTATTTTCATCACAAATCTTACATAATTCGAAGGTTGAACCCATTTCACAGTAAAGCTGATACTGTTCCTTTGTTACTTGTAAGTGGACTTGGAGAAGATTATTTGTTAAATAGTACAACAATGTGGTAGGACTGGGTTTTCCGTTCGGATATAAATAGAATCCCTCTCTTTCTCCATCAACCAACGCTTGTGCTAAGGATTTATTTTGTATTATGGTTTGTACGATTTTTAGTTCTTGTGTAATATATCCGATAGCCCACTGACCCAGTTTAGTACATGATAATCGGAAAATGTATGTTCCTGGACCAGGGTAAAAGCAGTAGCGTTTAAGAACACCTTTAACTTGATCATACGTCATGAACGCCATGTAACCGGGATGGAGGATGGCTAGTGCTTTCCAGGTTTCCAGTATATTGTTCCACGGTTGAAACAATCTAGTAAATACATCGAACTCAAAAATGGATACATAGTCATTGCAAGTTATGTCTATAGTCGTTTGAAGAGCCAGCAGTTGAGTATCAGAGTCTATCCTGAATGTTTGAATTAACGAATCTTTGAATAATTGCCAAGACACAACTACACTATTCCCAAAATTGCTCAACCACCATCGAGCTGCATCAGGTTTTGTTATACGGAAACCCTTAGAGTCGAAAGTATCATGTGGGAAGAGGGCTTCCAAATCGTTTAGAAGATGTGAATATACTAGTGACAACTTGATCAGACGAAACCGTGCATCTGAGTTGATATCAAAAATTTTCTCTTTGGAATTTTTGAAAAGACTAATAGTTTGCTTGGATTTCTCAATCAAGGTCGAAATATATATTTGAAAGTATTCTATTTCAGAGAGTGCATCATAATTTTCTTCATAATTTGCAATTATTTTTTGTAGCTTTTCATAGATATCCGGAATCGTATCCAAAATATAAGGTGGACTGGCTTTCAAGCTCAACTTTGGTTGTTGGCAAAGACGCACAACTTTATCGAGATATTTATAGCAAAAGTTAACACATTTTCTGTCAATCATTCCAAGTCCTCACATGAAGTTTATATGCGATTGCGACTGACAGCATAAGTACCCTAAAAAATATATTGTGAAAATTAGTGTGTAATTGATTTGTAGAGTTCAAACATTAAAGCAAAATGTAGGGATGCAGCATCTAGAATGACAAACGTAACACACTGGACAGTATTACACCATGACAGATTTCCTAACCAACATTTTTAATTTTGGGATATAAAAGATTCAATATTAGTGAAGGTATTATGAACTTGCCAACCCCACCCCCCAGGTATTAGAGAGGATTACAAGTTTAAAACCAGTGTTTTTTATCACTACTTATTAAACTTGGAGTCTTCGTCACGAAGTATACTGTTGTTTTCTGTTCAGAGACAAAGAATCTCCACGAAAAAACGGATAATTAAGATACTGCGAAATTCAAAGGACTTGACCAACGTATCAATATGAGGATTCACCAGTCTGTATACAAAGCAACCTGACAGCGATGGTCTAATACATGGCAGTACTACTGTTCCTTTCTATTCTCGAATTTGTTATTAAACCTACATGGACCATCGAAAATACGCAACCAATTGGAGTCAAGTGTTATACAACTAGGAAGCGCTTTGGGTAAATTTTGATTAAACAACAGATTTGTCTAAGAACTGTTGGTTTAGAACAATAACAAGAATATCTTTCCCCAGCCAAACTTCAGCTGACCAGTTTGTGAACTATTCCCTCTAGGTTTAAAAATGGGTTCCTGTGGGACAAGATACATCGGTTGCAGCCAGTACTTCATTTATTTAAATACATTGGTACACGGAAGCACCAAACAGATATGCGCCACATAAATCACTGGATTTGTGTGAGGGCTGGGATACTGTTTGGGTGCCCAAATCGGAGCAGGTGGTTTTTGGGGTGGGGCACACCCGGAGCCTTTGAACTAAAAGCCTGACCCACAAGGTAATGGAGTGATGTCAGGAGATGCAGTCCCTCAGGATCCTGGAGCCAATGTGGTTGTTATTCGAAGCGAGAAAAGTAGTTTCCATAGATATAGTGAGTTCATCATTTGCGTGTATCTGGGTAGCTGCATAAGTGCTGGTGGGGGCGTGAGTGATGAGATCGATGCACGTATAGTGCCTGGAGAAAGACTTCTCGAGCCTGAGTATGCGGATGATATTGTCTTACTGTGCAATAATGCCGAAGGCATGCAATCCGCACTTAATCAGTTGGCAATCAGTGTCCGTAAGTATGGTATATGCTTTGCACCTTCGAAGTGCAAAGTACTCCTACAAGACTGGCAGGATCCTAATCCTGTACTCACCCTGAATGGTGAGCAGATAGAAGTAGTCGAGAAGTTCGTGTATCTGGGTAGCTGCATAAGTACTGGTGGAGGTGTAAGTGATGAGATCAATGCACGTATAGTAAAAGCCAGAGTGGCTTATGCCAATCTGGGCCATCTTTGGCGCCTTCGTGGTGTTAGTCTGGCTGTAAAAGGTCGGATCTACAACGCGTCGGTAAGAGCAGTTCTGTTCCATGCTTGTGAAACCGGGCCTTTCCAAGTTGAGGACGTTAGACGAGTCTGTGTTCGATCATCATTATCTCCGAAGGATTGCTGACATCCAGTGGCAACACCATGTTAGTAATGCAGAGGTTCGGCATCGTGTGTTCGAGCACAGAGATGATAATTCAATTGGTGTCACCATCTTGAAACACCGACTTCGGTGGCTTGGACATGTTCTACGAATGTCGTCCCAGAGAATTCCACAGCGTGCATTATTTGCCGACGCTGGGACTGGTTGGAAAAAGCGGAGGTCAGTGTATAACATAGTGTCGTGGCATGAAAGAAGGCTACAAAGGACTGGCTTGTGTTGGTCGTTCACGACTCCCTGGCTGGGGTCCGAGAGATGGTGCTACACAGTGGCTAGAGACGTTATCAGATATGGCTCAGAATAGAAGCCAGTGGCGATCCTGCTGTAACCTTTTACTTTCTTCGTAAAAAGTGGTTATGTCTTCCTTAACTGAAAGATTTCTTCTGATTGTACCTTTTCGTTCCCCCATTTTTACCATTATTATTATTACACCACCTTACATCAATCTCTTCGTTATTATTCTCTTTTTTCCTTCCGCTTAAATTCTCATTGTTTTGTGTGGCGCATTCTTGTACCAATATATATGCGTACAAATAAATAAAGGTCAATGTGGTTTGGGATCAGGGTTTTACAACTCCCTTAGGTAGATTCTCCATATCCACCAACCCGGTTGAAGCGCTGAACATTCGCTTTTTGACCTCTTAATTTTATTAGTACCCCCGCCGCGAGAAGGCAGTGAGTAGAACTTTCTTGGCAGTGGTTGTATGCACATGATCATGTGAGAGCATTTCAAAAGAGAAAGCGACTCTCGGCCGTACCAGGGCATTTGGGGGCAGTCAGTACTTAGTGTTAACAAATACACATTTTCATAAATTACCCCTTTAGTCAGTAACAACGTAGAACTTCGTACGTACGTACATCAGTTCGAGTTGCCACACCACCTTAACACAGAGATGCAGTTGTCGATCCAAATCCCGTAGTGGTAGAGGTAGCAAGAGTGTAAGCAGTGATCGGGAAGATTAGGGTTTGGAGATGTTATTTAAAGAGTATAATTCAGTGAAATAAATTTGAAAAGAGGAAAAAAGGGACATGAAGAATTCAGAAGATTAGAATTTGGGAGAACACAAAGAGTGGATGCACCTGCGCTATTGCAAACGATTTTGAGCCATGTCATTCACGGTCTCTAACCATCGGTTGCTATCATCTCGCGGTCCCCAACCAGGTAGTCTACACCTATCAACATGACTCAGACCACTTGTCAGTGACTTCATGGACTTGTGCCATGTTTTGGTCTGGCCGCCCCTGGCTTTCTTCCAACCTACTCCTATACCACTGAACATCGTACGTCGAGGCAGTCGGTCGTTGGGCATACGTAACACGTGTCCCAGCCATCTCAACTGATGAAGTTTCACTACTTCATCAATTGATTTGCCATCCTTACCTAGTACCCGTTTCCTAACAACTGTGTTACTTACTCGATGGTCCCATGATATACGAGCAATGTTTCGAAGACACCTATGATCGAATACTAGTAACCTACGAATATCCTCTACTCTTACCGGCCATGTTTCACTGCCATAAAGTAGGACGGGACGTACTGCTGCGCAGTAAACCCGTCCTTTGGTTGATAGACGGATATCTCGCCTACGCCATAAATGACGCAAGTTAGCAAAAGCTAGTCGAGCCTTCTGTATCCGTGCTGAGATTTCGTCACACACCAGACCACAAGGGCTGATGAGACTTCCAAGATAAGTGAAGCGGTCAACACACTCAACTACTTCACTCTCTATCACTAGTTCGGGTGTCGATGTAACTCAATCCTGAAGCAACATTTTGCATTTCGAGGGAGAGAATCGCATCCCGAACATGCTTGCATTGTTGCTTAGAGTGGTCAGAAGACTCTGTATTTTGTCAACGTCTTCACCAAATAAAACTATGTCATCAGCATATTCTAAGTCAGCAAGTGAACCTCCCGGTAGAAGTTCAACCCCTGGAAATTTAGATGACGAGTGTTATCTCTAAAAGTACGTCGACCACAAAGTTGAACAAGAATGGAGAGAGTGGACAGCCCTTCAGATTTCATAGTTGTATACAAGTATAAATGCATCATATCTTCGGATGTTTTTCCTTTTTATTATTGGATTTCCTGGCGATAACTGAACTCCATGGAAATATATATCCAAAACTACTGTAACTTGCTCCAAAAAATCTTGTTCTTTTAATTGCGGTGTCCGGAATTGTTAATGTCTTGTGAAAATAGTGAACACATAAAGGACAGATCTTGAAGCCATGAAAAGTAGGCACATAACACTACCAAGACCTCAAATCTTCAAGAAATTCCTAGTTTTTGGTTTACATTGACACTATCTGCATGTCATTTACGAATACAAGTGCTCTTTAACTACTGTCCACGACAAGGATTGATAGAATATGGTGTGATAGTGCAGAGATGAAACTTAAGAAATAAAATCAAATAACAACAATAAAGCACATACCTTTAGTTTTACTATTCAACTAAATCCAAAGGGACAACTGGAAGTGGATTCAGTTAACACTATATCATACAGTTACGTTTAGCATATTTTCTCCAAGGAAAGTAGCATTCACTATTTCAGCAAAGGTTTTCGTAACATTAGTATGGTGCAAATAAACTAGTCTAATCGAACTATAAACGGGATTAAGAGGAGTCGATAAACGATTATTCTAAATTTAGAAATGATCCCTCTACTAATGTTCTTTGGTACAATACCTGATCTAGTATTCCCGAAATACATAAAACACTGAACGTTTCAACTGTTAGTGTTCACAGACTGATTTTGATGATCCTACATTAATGTTCAGTTAGCAAGCTGCGAATCGCCAACTTGTGTATTTATATTACTCCTTAGATTTAGTTCATTAATTTCCATAGAACTATTGTTAATCTGGAAAACAAGTATATTGTGTACTGGTCTCCAACAGCATGAGACTCACGATCTGACTACGAGAACTATATGCTTCATCTCTGACTAAGACTTGTTAAGTCTATCAGGTGAATTGACAGACTAAAATATGTATGTCGAATGATTATTTTAATTTCCAACCTATAATCCTAACTTAGTGATCAAAGATACGTTTAGGGGCAGTCCCATTAGGAATTTTTGTGAAAATGTAACCTTAGATTTACTCAGGTGTGGGATTCTTCCCAGAAATCACCCGAAATTCTCCAAGGGAATTGTTGATAATGATAGCCCGAAGTTTAAAATTCGCGGTCAAAGAAACTCCGAGTGATTCCGTTTCTCTTACTGTGAAAAAATTTCCTACAATTACGCGTTTTGGTACAATCTTCGTCGTGAGTGGTAATTATTTGCAGTGTTTTAACTCGTTTTCATGTTATGACAGCAAAAAGAACATTTATTTACAGATTTCATCAGTTAACGGTGTACATAATTAATAGTATTGTAATTTTACCCTTTTGATGGAAATAAAGAACGCCAAATGCCACAAAAACAGGAACATAGACTTTCGAAGTGTGACTAGCGACCACGTAGCGCAACTCTCAAAGAACGCTCTCTCACTTCCAGCCTTCAGTAATAAGGATAGTAGGTTGATGAACCAGTATTAATCCTGACACATTGCTTTCCGGCGAAGGTCCAGCTTCTCCGTGAAAATATCCACTGATGGAGCTAATATCACTTGTCTGGATTAGCGTTCCAATGATGGGAACACACTTTAAGTTTATTAAATCGTGGTTTATGAACCTTCTTGCTATGACCTCGGAGATTATTAGTGCTGGAGGAAGAAAAAAGATAAGACATATTAACACTCAAATCATAATTAAAGATACGAAATGCCAGTATAAGGTCACCTCATGTCCCACGATACGACAAGGGGAAAAGGTTTAAGTGTTTTAAACGCTCACCGTAAGGGAGTCTAGAAAGACCCTTCACTAATTTCGTTCCTACACGCTGGACACGCCCAAGGGAGTTAGTATCCTTTACCAGACACGGGCTAGCTGTTTGGATACAGTACTCTAAATGTGGTCTAATATAGATGGGATATAAAATTCTAAACGTTTCCTCGTCAAAAGATTTGAACGCTCGGCGAAGTGACCATAACGCACGAAAACCTTTGACAGCGGATGCTTTGCAATGCTTAGTTGTTTTTAAATCATGACTTAATACTACTCCTAAGTCTTTATGCTCTTGAACGCAAGGAAGAGGTTTACCCTCAATAGTGTAACGGTAACTATTACCGTGACCGATGTGCATTAGTACACTCTTCATAGCATTGATTTCTAAACCCCACTATCGAGCCCATCTAACTAAATCGTCCAAGTCATCTAGAAGATCCAGGTGATCAACCGCACTTTTTATCGTTCTCCATACTTTTACATCATCCGCAAACAATAATGTAGACGACCTAAGTGACAGCGGTAACTCATTAACGTAGAGAAGGAAGAGCAGATGGGCTAAGATGGTGCCTTGGGGTACATCACTTTTGACCGGCTTTCAATCCGATAGCGTTCCGTTGACCCTCACACTCTGTCTGCGGTCACATAAGAAATGTCCTATCCACTCCCGTACAGTACCTATTATTCCGAAGCTCGTGAGCTTCTGCATAAGACCTACGTGTGAAACCTTGTCAAATGCTTTGCTAAAATCTATAAATATCACATCGACAGACAGACTGTTATCTAGGGCTGCTGTACAATCCTTCCTCGCAATAAGCAAGTTAGTCAAGCATGAACGCTTGTTACGAAATCCGTGTTGCTCAGGAGCTAACAGATTGTGTAAATCTATGTGGCTTGGCAACCTAACCCGAATTAACTTTTCAAGTAACTTAACAACTATGCTAGTTAGACTAACAGGCCGGTAGTTAGATACTATCTGTCTCTGACCGTCCTTAAATATAGGACTGACTATAGCGTCCTTCCAATCTCTAGGGAGTTGAGCGAGTGAAAGGGACATGTTGAAGAGTGTCGCAAGCGGTTTTGAAATAATGTCCGAAATAGACGACAGCAACCGTGGATGTAACCTGTCAGGGCCCGGTGTCTTACCAGGTTTGAGGTTAGTTATCAACGGAAGGACAGTTTCCTCAGTCACCTGTACAGATTCAATGATTGGTATCTCGGTGTGAGTGGGACAAGTATTTGTTACAATAAACGTAGACTTCGCCAAAATAGTTTAAAAAAGTCTCAGCTTTTGCTCGATCTGATCAAACTAGGAAATCCGAATTTTCGCGAAACAGTAACGGGAAAATTCCATCACTACGTTTCATTCGCCGTCTAACATACGAAAACAATCGTTTCGGACAAGTACGGCTATCATATACTAACTGTCGTTCGTAAGTGGTACGGGATTTGTCTATGGTTTTCTGACAGATACTGCGGAATGTTTGATACTAACGTCTAAATGGTGCATGACCTGTCAACAAAAATAAGTCACAGAAGTGTTTCCTACGCTTTAACAGCTTTCGGGTTTCCTTATTAATCCATGGAGGGCAGTGTGATAGCTTACGTGCTGACCATGGGATAAACGGCGACGTTACGGACTTGAATGTAGCCTTAAACTTATTCCATTCATCTTCGATCAATCCATCCGCGTCGACCGACCAATCAGTCGAGATAGCACAGTTTCTGATCGCTGGAATATCGGCTCGCCATATATTGGGACGGGGAGGAACAGATACGAATCGTATACCAAACTGAATGCGCTGTTCATCTTTGGATACAAATCAGCGCATTCCTGCTGTAGCGTTAAAAAATCCCCAAAATAAATAACTCTGTAAATTTTCGACATTGGGTGCTGACCACATTAGTTTTAATGAACTCACCCAGCTGAAGGCGCTCGGTCATGCATCCGCACCAGATCACGAGTGGCAACGTCGTGCTCAACAACCCCTACAATCGCTAGCCAGATTAAATCAGAAGATCTTCGATATACTGATAGTCTACCAAATATATCTTCGAACCTCCTCACTTCTGTCTTTTGATTTCACTTGGTGGGTACGACTCATAATAGGTGTTACTAGTTAAAGCGTTGTCAAACTCCGAATACCTGTGGCATCTCCATTGGCGAACCCATCGTGATCTGGTACGCCGAATCGCAAACTGTGAGTCTGTTCCTTTTAGGGATTTTATATATCATTGCTTTATTTTACTTTTCTACACATTGTGATATTTTTCCTTGTTTTTGAATATATATTTTTTCACTCGTTCATTCTCCTACTTGATATTTCACTATGACTGGACAGACACCCAGGGTACTTAAGCTAAAGACTATCTCCCCACCTTCGTTCAAACTGATGTCCTTCTGGCCAGACAACATCAAAGCCTGGTTCTGCTGCGCGGAAGCCGACGTCTACGAGCACGACATGAAAGACACACTTGCACAATTCTTCTCGGTAGTCAAGACACTACCGCGCGAATTCAACAGGTACGTCACACCTAGTATGTTTACTAGTGATGTTTCTGAACCCTACGAAACACTGAAAAGATCTATCCGTAAACACGGAGACCTAACCAACAGACAAAGTTTAGGCCAAATAGAGTCAAACTAACTGTAGCTTCGGAATATGAAACCTCAACATTGTTTCGTGAGAGAGGATGAAGTCACAAAATTTCGATTGATTTACTCATTATGAGTTTTGTTCAAGATTACTTCCGTTTGATTCAATGTAATGATTACTCAGTTTAGTATTTATATTCTTTTCTCGTATGATATATTATTCTGTATGATATGCGATATTCTTGTATTCTAATACCATGAACTATGCTTAGTATGTGATTTGTTACAACTAAGTATTTTTCATATATGTGATTTTATCCTAATTATTGATCAAAATAGGTGTACAATCAATATATAAATGAGTGTATTATCTACTAGAGTTGTCGTGTTTTGGGGTTAATAAATCATCACTCATGCCAGTCTTTGTGTTCTTACTTTCGCGTCGTAGGAATTGCAGAGGTCCTTCGTTCCAAGCATAAAAGATAGGCGTTTCCGACATAACAATCAGTGACGACGAGATACAAAAAGTAGTATTTAAAGAGCCAAGATAAGAAGCATTCAAACGATAGATTATAACAATAACATCTACCTGAAACACGGTTCTTCAACAGACATGTTGCAAAAAATTAGAGAGTTTGTCGGCCAAAGAACCTTCGATGATGGCCTATTCAAACAACTCTTCTTATCCAAACTTTCTCAACACATGCGAGCTGTGCTGGTCTCGTTTCAAAACAACGCCTGAGACGAGCTGGTCACATCCCTAAGGGGATCACAGAGTCTTCTAATGACGAGGTTCTTTCAGTCATAGAAAAGCCTCAAACGACGCATAATGACATAACGGAATTATGTCCTACCCTAACACGCTATCTTAAAGTTCGTAAGGACTGTAAACGGTCACATACCCCGGGAAGAACCACTTCACGTAGGCGATCTGTCTCTATACCACGAGAGACTGACAACCCCGTCTGTGTTAACGGCGACCGTAGCCGGCGAGCATAGCCGTCTGTTATACGTCACGGATGTGATAAAAAAAGTTCGCTACCTCGTCGATACTGGCACAGACGTTGGCGTTCTCCCGGCGAATTCTAACGACCGGCTTCACGAATCAGTTATAAACCTACAGGCGGTAAAAGGAAAGTCTACCGCTACAGATGGTAAAAGATACGTTTACCTTAATGTGGGTTTGTAGAATTATAATCTACTATGATATTAGTACTGCTCTAATAATAGACCTAATCCTAAATTTGTAGATTTGTCATGATATGACTGCCTAATCTATAAGATCTTACGTGGAAGTCACACCATCGACTACACCAACTCACTGTATCGTATCAATTACCAATACATGATGTAGAACAAGATTAGGCTAGAGAAAGAACAATATATTTAATATGAAAAGAAGATATAAGGTAACATTCAGCAGAGACCACGCCTGCATGGCCGAGCCATGCCGTTCGATCAACTCTAGTCTATTCAATTCATTAGTCGCGCCATCTCCATCGTTAGGTATTTCTTCGCGTTAAATATATCCTCAGCTTTGAGGATTGTGTGGTTATGGTCCAATGCCACTACACTACTCTCCCACCAGAATCAACGTGGTGTTGGTTCGATACCAAATTGGATGGGACTGTAGTGTCCCGAAGGTTACCAAGACTAGTAATAATCCTCCGGGTGATGACAAGCTGAAAGATAAATCAAAAAGAAGACGGCAGCATCTGGTCGGGAAATACATGTAATAATTTTAAAATATCTGCCTTCATGCTTACAATAAAAAATTGAGTGATTATTTGAGCTATAAAAAAATGGGATTACAATAATAATAATAATAGTAATAATAAAACGATGCGTGTGTAATAGCCGTTGGTTGATAACTTAACGTATAGGTAGTAAGTATTTTGTGTTTAGAAATATTAAAGTTATGAATATTGTAGAAATGTTAATATTAGTACTACTTTTAGTCTAACTTATGAAATCAAATAATGATTATGCCGGTAAGTTGTCCATATGAGTTGATTTCCAATTGCATCTGTATTAGTAGGCTAACTGAAGGAACAAAAGTATTACC